GAGTGTTGTGAGGCTAGTGAGTATTTTGAGGTTAGTGAGTGTTGTGAGGCTAGCGAGTGTTGTGAGGCTAGCGAGTGTTGTGAGGCTAGTGAGTATTTTGAGGTTAGTGAGTGTTGTGAGGCTAGCGAGTGTTTTGAGGTTAGTGAGTGTTGTGAGGCTAGCGAGTGTTGTGAGGCTAGCGAGTGTTGTGAGGCAGTGAGTGTTGTTAGGCTAGTGAGTATTTTGAGGTTAGCGAGTCTTGTGAGGCTAGCGAGTGTTGTGAGGCTATTTAGTCTCACTAGCCACTGTTGCCCACTCCACTGATGCCCACACCAGTGATGCCCAGAGTGAGTTATGAGGTCAGGTGTCATCACTCATCAGTGGTGATGATGGCTGATGGTGACCCACCCACTCACCACGTGCTGTCATTCATGAGTGTGATGAAGCGATCGCATTTCAGTGGTGCAATGTTTACGCCTGCGCTGCCGATGTTTACGCCTGCGTTGCCGATGTTTACGCCTGCGCTGCCGATGTTTACGCCTGCGCTGCCGCTGGCAAAAAACATGTTTCTGCATGTTTTTCCAAATTTACGCACCTTATCCTATAGTTTACGCATGTTGTCCTACAATTGACGCATGTTTTCCCAAAGTTTGCTCGTATGGCTGCCAAGTTTACGCAAATGTTTTGCTCAATTGCGCCAAAGTTCCCGACAAACATCGCGATCTTCTTCTGTTTTGCCGTCAACAACATCGCTTCATTTAGACGGCGCTGTACCTGATGCTTACCTACATCTAAGGCCTTCATCAAGTCCTGCTGAACTCCATCAAACGCTGCTGAGCTTACATCAAAGGCTGTTAAGCCTACATCAAAGGATGTAGAACCTACATCAAAGGCTGCTGAGTCTAAATCAAAGGATGCGGAGCCTGCATGTAAAACCTAAAAACCTACATCAAAGACTTCAAAAACCTACGTCAAAAACTGCAAGTCTTACATCAAAGACTACTAAACCTACATCGAAGACTAAAAAACCTGCATCAAAGACATCAAAACCTTCATAAAAAACTACAAGACCTACATCAAAGATTACAAATCTACATCGAAGACTATAAAACCATCATCAAAAGCAAAACAACTGTCATCAAAAGCGCCAAAATCTTCATCTGAAGTTACATAACATTCATTAAAAGCTACAAAAACTTCATCAAAAGCTACGAAAACTTCATCAAAAGCTACACCACCTTCATCAAAAGCTACACCACCTTCATCAAAAACTACACCACCTTCATCAAAAGCTACACGACATCTAGTTACATGTTATCGCTAGTCGTCTATGGGTAGCTGATTTCCAAAAGGTAATATGCAGAAGTTTATGCTATTGCATAAACTTCTAAATAAACTTTGCTGCTTATTTTGCGTCGTCTATAAGAATACTGATCATGAATGGCAACATGAAAAACGAAAATATTTACAGCTTCTTTGAAATTGTGTAAAATTGGCGGCGGCTTCGGCGATCCTATTTTGGTCCCGTCGGGGGCGCCGTGGGAGGAGCGGGGGAAATGGGAGAACTTAATCCATCAATCCATTAATGCGATAACTAAATCCATCAACCCATTAATGGGAGAACTTCATTCATCAATCCATTAATGGGAGAACTTAATCCATCAATCCATTAATGGGTGAACTTAATCCATCAATCCATTAATGGGAGAACTTAATCCATCAATCCATTAATGGGAAAACTTAATCCATCAATCCATTAATGGGAGAACTTAATCCATCAATCCATTAATGGTGTTGCTAATTCAGTAATGGGGAAACCTAATCTATTACCGAGATCTTTCATTAATCCAATAATGTGTTCTTAATCTGTTATGGCATAATTTAAGTATTTAATTAATACATTAACGAAGCACTTAATCCATTATAAATTAATTGGTTACTTAATCCATTAATCCATAAATGGTGTACTTGATCCATTAAT